ATATATTATTTCATTATACATTGAATTCCATTAATATGTTTCACCCATACAAATGGAGTGATCTTTAAAGTTTAACTCACATTTTCTCTGTTTTGGCCCACCTCTAGTTGAGGAGGCTTATTCTCCATTTAAAATAAAGGCATCACGATTCACTGCGATGCACTTCTACCGCAATTTATTTATGTTCGATTCGTTTCAGGATATATTTTTTCGGATTTTCGATACGTCACGATCTGAGTATTAGTGTATGCCGCTTCAGCCGAAACTTCTGTGAGATATTCAATTTCATTGGCTGATCTCTAAACCCTCAACCAATCTGCTGCGAGGATGCAATTTTCACAAAGCATTCATAACAAAATGTCGGACTATTGAAGAATATTAATGAAAATTTGTGATGCTCCGGGGAGCCTTAAATTGAAAGTGTGGAAACACTTCAGGTTTCCATGTATCAACGGCAAAGAGGACAATAAATCACAAACTATTTGCCGGAAATGTCTGTGTACATGCAAGCCTACAAATCGGGGCAAACTACAAACATGGGCGACACATCTCAGCCGAGTTCATCGCATCGAATTGGAAGAACGTTCTTAGTTTGTTTAAATATAAAATTAAAGTGTTGGATGCTTATAAATCTCATTTTGTTTATATTTTAAACGAAAGGTGTATCGAATCGAAATAATCAAATCATGGTACAAATATCAAGATACGTATCGAATCGTGGGTAAAGTGTATCGTGACAGCTCTTATCTACAACCACAAATTCCATTGATCCAGAGATATGCAATGGAATGTTCACCCATTTTTAAAGATTATTTAATAACACATTTCAATAAAAAAGTGAAAATAGTTGGATTTTTGATTATCATTTACCATTGAGGAAAAAATTATGTAAGAAAGAGAAATTAATTCTGTACCATGATCATGAAAGAGGGCTAATCCAATTAGATTTATAAGAAGTCCCAAGCCACCAACGATGAGCATCAATTTCGGGTCATCTATCTCTTCTACCTCGACCAGACGCTTGAGAGCCTCAACAAGAATGGAGAAGCAGAGAGCGACTAGAAACACGGCATTGACCAGGGCACCCAACACCTCGGCTCTCACCCAACCATACGTGTTCTTTTCAGTCGTCCACTTGGAAATCTGAAATAGGAATATGATGTTGACCAGCGTCAAACCTATAACAGTAAACTGTGATATAATTTGATGTTGTGACACATGTTTACAGTCAACTATGTGGTAACGTAAGCTTAAAATCAACTGATGTGATTTGGATGGGTTTCTTTAAAATGTATAGGCTTCTTTTGAATTTCCATGTTTTAAAAGAATAGAATTTATAAGGATGCCATCGAGTCAAACGCTGCTATAGGCCATGCTTACCCTTACTGCAGCGAATCCTACTATAAGTGAGACGACGTCTGACAGCATGTGGAACGAGTCTGCGACAAGAGCAATGGAGTTAGTGACATAGCCGACAATGATTTCCACCAGAAAGAAGGAGGCCGTCATTGATAGCATTGTCAACAGACGACATGTCTTTCCTGAATAGCGGCCCATCCTCTAATAAAGGAAAGCATATAGGCAATGAGTGAAAAAAATCCTTTTTGAAGCCTTTGATTTAATTTATCAATGCAATTTTGGAAGAAACATGTGGAAAGTCATTCCACCCCCAAAAATGTATTTTATTCTGGGAAAATGATGTTTACCCAATAGTGGCTATTGTAGCTGGTCATGAGTTGGATCTAATTAATTGAAATTGAAACTTTTTTATTAAATGGCTCTTGACCTTTTTTCATCTACTACGTTCTATNAAAAGAATAGAATTTATAAGGATGCCATCGAGTCAACGGCTGCTATAGGCCATACTTACCCTTACTGCAGCGAATCCTACTATAAGCGAGACGACGTCTGACAGCATGTGGAACGAGTCTGCGACAAGAGCAATGGAGTTAGTGACATAGCCGACAATGATTTCCACCAGAAAGAAGGAGGCCGTCATTGATAGCATTGTCAACAGACGACATGTCTTTCCTGAATAGCGGCCCATCCTCTAATAAAGGAAAGCATATAGGCAATGAGTGAAAAAAAATCCTTTTTGAAGCCTTTGATTTAATTTATCAATGCAAATTTGAAAGAAACATGTTGAAAGTCATTCCACCCCTAAAAATGTATTTTATTCTGGGAAAATTATGTTTATCCATGGCCAATAGTGGCTATTGTAGCTGGTCATTTTTATCTACTACGTTCTATACCAAATTTTAATGCCTAGACTATTTTAAGTCTTTTGCACAAGTGATTTATTTTTTATTTTTCACATGTTTACAGTATGTAGATAGATCGCAGTACATATCCTGACTTTCTGCGCATACATCAGAGAGGGGTGTAAAAACTAAAAACACCCAGAAACATTGATAAATCACAGACATATCAGAGGGGTGTAAAAACTAAAAACTCCCAGAAACATTGATAAATCACAGACACATCAGAGGGGTGTAAAAACCAAAAACACCCAGAAACATTGATATATCAGACATCAGATGGATGTAAAAAATCAAATAACTGCTTAAACCATCGATAATTGTCAAGCCAAAGGTTCACCTCCCCAAACCTAGCTATGTAATGAATAAAACATGATTTTATGAGGGGGGGGGGTTAAAATTAAAATTGGTTAGGAAAAACATTTGATCTTTTAACATATTAAGAAATAATTCAGATAACATTTCTCAATTTAACCATCTTACAAGACGATGATATATTTGTAGAACATTCATCGTTATTGAAATTACAAGATACAAGAACATTTATTTAGCGTCGCATAACATGACATTACAAACATAAGCTTGGTAATGTTTAGTTAATTTTATTGCAACAAATGACAAATGGATTGGACACAAGTTATTGCAACTTACTTACGTCCTTTCCGTAACAGAAAACATATATACAAAATTAATGTGTCGCATAATAACCTAATACAAATTTATATATGTGTATATATATAAGATGTTAAAGATGGGTTACAGCAAAAGAGGTAATGATAGGATTAGGGACACCAACGTATAGTTTTTAAATATGTATTCGAAGAGTTTACTTGAGATCGTGTGTGTGACTTTCCTAATTGAGTCGGCGTAAGTAGTATACATAATCAATACCCACATATCCTTCTGCTTTTCTAAAGTTCAATCACATTCCGTGCCGCATTTGCCTTTCTCCTGTGTCACTCAAAGTCCTTCTGTGAATTCCTGCCTTACATACTTAGCCGACTAGATTAGGAAAACCGGACACACGCTCTTTGTCATATTGAAACGGCTATGATATTGATGGACGCTAAGATTGAAGTTAATACACAGAGATTGTTGGTGTTGGAAAAAGGGAGAGGGGCTGGAATAAGAGAGGAGGTGGAGGGGAGAGACAGATGGGAATAGTCGAAGTAGGTATCCTGGTCATGTTAAGGACTTAAATTCCCACCCTTCGTAATACATGTTTTTCTTGTCGTATTTTCGTGTCGTCATTTCCGTATTGCGTATCGGGCATTCCATTATCGTAGTGTAAATTAAAGTAACACCGGGTAAACAATAGTACACGTGCGTGACGATGATATGTCAATACCCGATATCGAGTAATCACACGTACTTCAGAAATAACGCTTATGATACAAAGACATTAATTAACTCACATGAAAACACTGACATACGATCAGTTGTTCAAGAAGGTCGTATATGAGGTGCATGGAATACATACTGGATGTGTTTACAGACCTCACCTGTACGTGCACATAATAACGGCATACCATGCGAAAGCCTATGGCTACATATGTACCTGACATGTTATATACCATATGCATGTGTAAGCGGGCTATGGAATGATGTCCAAAGTGTACAAGATTGAGAGTAATTTTTGTTCCATAAAAAAACAGATAATTGACAATTAAATATAGTAATTTAATTTATTTCCGTCGTTTTTGGTATAGTAAAGAAAATAAGTTTCATGGTATAAATTCTATCCCTCTCTAAAAAGTTCCATTTTTTCAAGTCGACAACTCTTATCAGGATCAAAATTATTGTGAAAAGTAAAATAAATGAATTATAAAGACTTTGTGTGTATTTGGTTCACTTTTTCACTCTTTTTGTATGAAACTATGTGTCCAGTTTGCTTTTAGCTTGTATTTAGTAACTTTTATCCATACAATTTCAATAAAAAACGCTTTCTGGAACATGTTGAAGATATTTTATGATAAATAAAATATTTGTAGGGTTGATTAGCAATGTTCCTTTTCATTATTTTATTGTTGTAATAGTTTTGAACAATGCCACACGCTCAAAAAATGTGGAAGTGTTGAATTTGACAAAAATTCAATTTTTCAGTATTTTTTACAAAAATTCCCCAGTTTATCAGAATGCTTAGATTTTCATAAAATCATCTTGACACAGTGATATAACCATTATGTGAAACTTTGATTGAATTCTGCAGGCTAATTGTGAAAGGGTGGAGCCTCCTTACAGACCTACAATTTTGAATGTGTAGATTGTAGTCAAGATTTGCATCTCCGAAGAGAAGGTGTTCAACAGTGATTTCGTTATACCAGTCAAGGGATTGAAGCATTATATTACGGGATTGATAAAATTTTTTACAGTTTAGTAAGAAATGGGAAGAGTCTTCCGAGTCATTTTCGTAGTCGCAAGAAGCGTTGTCTCGAAGGTGAGCTTTAAAAAGGTCGTAATTTAAAGAGCTACTGTGGTTTCGTAATTGACAATGTATATTATTTACTTTTCTGGACCCATATTCAAGAAAACATTTAATATAAGAAGGGGTAGTGACTTGAGGTTGAATAAGAGTTTTAAATTATTTAATGGATTCTGAGGTAGATTATTCCAGGAGTCGAAAGTACTTGGTATGAAGGATGATTTTGTGACTTGCAGTCTATAGTATGGGTTCTGAAAGTTATTCCTGTTTCTAAGATTATAGTTAGAGAAGTTTGACACAATAGGTGGTAGAAGAGATTTTAGAAATGAGGGAGGATTATCATGATAAATATTATAAAACATAGATAATTTTCTAATCCTGCGTCTATCATGTCAATGATTTCCATCCGAGCTCTCTGTAAATAAATTCTTTTTTTGTATAAATAGGTAATCCAGTTATTATTCTACCTGCTTCATACTGCATGTTCTCTAATTTATTCGAAAATGTGATATTACAATTGTCCCATACTTCGCAGGCATAGTTTTTTCTATTTAGGATGTATTTTAATTTCCTTAATGTTGAAATGTACTTTGTAGTGTTTGTAAATATATGTTCAATGTGAGAGTTCCATGTGCCGTTGTTACTAATAATGACACCTAGGTGTTTGTGGTTTTGAACAATAGGGATAGGTGTGTTGTCGAAAAGAAATTGTGGGTTAGAAGGTATATTTGTGTTAGAAATTAAGAGTATTTCGGTTTTATTTGGGTTGAAATTCATTAACGATTTATTTGACCAAAGGTTTAATTGTTCCATGTCATAGTTAATTACTTGTTTTATTTCGTGTACATTTTTGGAAAGAGTGTGCTAATGCAGTGTCGTCAGCAAAATGTCTAGTCATTGATAGTAGTACTAGTGTATTTGAAATATCGTTGATGTATACAAGTGTTGATGCATACAAGAAGTGGCCCTAACACTGAACCTTGAGGAACTCCGGCTTTGTAAGATACTTCAGAAGATATAGCATTTTTTAGTACAACTGACTGGCATCTGTTACTTTGTTAAGCTTATTCCATGGAAGCTACGTACCAATTGTCATGTCTCTAAACCATTCGGTATTTCAGAAGTAGTTGTTTGAAGTGTTTTTTTTACATATTTGACCCGCGTGACCTTGACAGTAGGTCAAGGATATGAACAAACTTGGTACCTCTTTATCCCAGCATGATATTGGCCATATATCTTCACCCTATGTCTGTTCGTTATTGAGAAAAAGTTGTTTAAAAGATTTTAACAAATTTGACCCCTGTGACCTTGAAAGTCGGTCAAGGTCATTTTTATTCGCAAACTTTGTTTGGCTAATTCCAAGGAAGCCACCAATTAAATACAATGTCACTAGCATTTT